AATAAACATATATATTAATAAACCATATTTCAGAAAACAAAATCCATCTTCTGTCGTTCTAGAATGTTCATGGTTTTGATTAATATTTTTTGTTTGTTTTTTTGTAGTTAAACACAAAGATACACAACGGGGAGTCTGTGCTGTGCCACCACGGTATTGAACCCAGTTTCTAGCATTATAAGTCCACAGACTTACCCATATGCCACTGGGGGGGGGGGTTACTATATAAATCCAATTATCTTCATCTTGACATAAATATTACGCTATTCGAGGTGTACTTTAACATGTTATGTGCATTTGGTAAATATTCTGTCGGAACAGCGGCATTGACTGTCACTTTTATAATGGGACTACATTTGAAAGTGCAGAGTGTGTTCTGCAGCATACTGCAGTTTCGAACTTTGGACCTTCGCATACATAATCCAGCACTTTAACTGTAATAAGATCTAGTATTTCTTACAGAACTTGTGCATTCTCTGAACCACAGGGTTCAAATACATTATGATTACTCTTGTTGTTTAATCAACCTGTGAAAACTGAGGTAATATGTAGTAGAAACAAAGATGAACTGTTTTACTTAACACGGGTTGTATATCTTATTATAATGGAGCTTGGGATGTATACATCCAAAACTCGGATCTCGCAAACTATCACATCGATCATCACCAATCATAACTGGGTAATATATTTATAACAAGGCAGTATTTTTATAGCTGAGTAATAAATAAAACAATTGAAATTTCCACAAAAATTATATGTTTCAGATTTAACCAGTAAATATTACAAACAAAAATGGGTAAGTTTCAGATTTAACCAATAAAAACTACAAAAAAAAAGGAGTAAATTTCAAATATAAAACAATCAAAAAACAAACTTAAAACTTGATTTATTTTTCTTTATTAAAAAATCTCATGAGTGTTGCAACAGAAAAGGAAGGCACTTTCATTTATAACTGCGTCTACAAGGAAATCCTTCAAGGAAATCTACTCTATGATGTAATACTATGATGATAGCTCATTTTTAAACTAAAATTTCAATAAAATAATTTTTATCACGGAATGTCAAGTATGAGTACATTGTTGTAGAACTGTCAAATGATTCCAGAAAAGGCTGCAGGCCTGTCTCTCGGCCGCAGGCCCAATAGCCTTCCGCAGGAACTAGCAGTTGTACCTGCCATGAGAGCGGGTATTTCTGCTAGTTTATATCCATACATCCAATATTACAGTGGCGTAGCCGTAGAATGTCTTTATTCAAGAAACTGTACAAAAAATATTATTAAATTATTATTTGTAAATTTGCAACACTATCGTTTCATAGCATAGAAAAAATAATACCTAAAATACCAACGAATATAAATTATAGTAATAATTATATCTAGATATTATAAAATGTTATAACCGTTTTAAAAAATCTTCCCAGGTGGTTTAGCAGTAAGCTTGAAAGCTTATAACGCAAGAACTCGGGGCTCGACCTCTCCAGTAAGTACGGCACAAATAACTAGTTGAGAAGTTTGGCACTTCACAGCAAAAACAAGCAAGAAAACGCTAAAGAAAAAAAAACATATTACTAAATACTACCTCATGAAAGTAGATGTAAGATAAACTTAGCGATTTATTTTTTCTTCTATAATGTGACAATTTTTGAAGTCAGTATAACTCTTAACAACCACAAAACTCGTTCTGTAAATTTTAATTGAATATCGAGCTGCGTGGACTCGCAGAAAAACTTCGCAAAATTTTTCGATCTTTCGAAGAGGTTATCAAAACATCGAATGTAAATGTTTGCTCTCGAATATTGCCAAGGTAAACATCAGTTTTATCGTTTTTGTAATCTTAAAATAACAAGTAAAAATCATATCAGAAAGCTTAATTCAAGAGTTTTTTATTAATCGGAATTGTATAGTACGACATATATTGTTACCACATGAAACTTAACTGTGAATAAAAGAAAAAATCATTATCAACAAGTTAGCAAGATAGCTGACTTAGAATTCAATATCACAGTTAAAATTAATTGATATGGTATCTAATTAAACTTCTGCTTAAAGTAAGGTTGCGTCTGACAACTATATCAAATGGTGATGAAATAATAAGGTTGCGTCTGACAACTATATCAAATGGTGATGAAATAATACTTATATATTGATGATTCAAAAGCATGTATAGTAGAGCAAAGTATTGTAAGTATTTACGTTTTTAAGAAAACTTATCTTTATACTAACATATTTCTTTCTCTTGAAGTTAAGCAGCTTACTTAAAGCTTTAAAGCGGTTTAGTCCCGAGATAAGTTTTATGACAAAAATGGTTTATACTAACTTTTACTAGGTTGTCTCTCAGTCCAATGTACAATATTTAGACTTGGCAAAAAAATGTTAAGCGCACATGTGAAGAAATGGGTGGAAGGAAAGAAAATATCTCCTTATGGTTTATATTGCATGTTTTACTTTGAATTATTTTCTCCCGTGAAAATAAAATATCAAAGGAATAATTGCTATAAAAAGATGCTGATTTTTGTTAATCACAGTAGGTTTAATCATCACTTTGTTAGCATAGAGAAGAGAAGAAACACTTTTATTGTGCATTCATAGTTACACCTATTTTAGTGACTGGAACAAAGTAAATTAAAATATAAGAAAATAAATCCGAACTTAGCTTATGCGACACGGATTAAACGGCAAAGTTAGGGACTCAATTATTCAGACATAGCCATCCATAATTTAAAATCGCTGGCCAATAGGAAGGCAACTAGTCAGCAACAGCTGATGCTTACGTGGCTGCTCTTAACCAAGTAATGGGATTAACTATCACAAATACAGCTCCCTCCACACCACAGCTAAAAGTGCCGAGCGTTTCCAGCAAGATATCGTGACTTGAACCTGAAAATACAAAAACAAAAATATAGTTCTAATATATGAGTCACGTCATATATAATGACGTTGATATATATCACAAAATCTTAATTTTGTGTGTGTGTGTCTTTCCATTGCATTAGCACATATTTTTTCAGTCAATTTACACTGAACATATTCTTACTTCAGGCATGATAGGAAAGTTTCGGTATTTTCTATATTTTTACTGGTATTTTTAATTTTATCGCCGAAACAAAAGATTCTAACAAGTATTATCAGTAGATTTTTGCTCAAGATATTAGTGTCAACAATAGTAAAGTTGCACAGTTTATTGTGTATATGTTTCAGAACGCTTGAGTAAAAATCATGTAGCACTTACAGCATTTATTCTGACCTGTCGGATTATGTTTATTCTAAGTCTGTTTAAATTTTAAAACGCTTTATTTGGAATAATTAATCCATTTTACGTTACTTTATTGATTGGAAAGCTGATATTTGTTGTTGTTCTTCGTCGTATGTAAAATATTATTTATATTCTAAACGCTAGTTAGTTTTTACAATATTGTTTGTGTGATTTGAATTTTACGCAAAGCTACACGGGGGCTATCTGCGCTAGCCGTCTCTAGTTTAGCAGTGGGAAGGCAGCTAACCCACCGCCAACTCTTGGGCTACTCTTTTACCAACGAATAATGGGATTGGCCGTCACGTTATAACGCCCGCACGGCTGAAAGGGCGAGCATGTTTAGTGGGCTGGGGACTCGAACCTACCACTCTCGGATTGCGAGTCAAGCGCCCTAACCACCTGGCCATGCCGGGCCCTTGAACAAGCTAACCATGATTGGTTGTGTAGAGGGCGTTCAAGCGAAACTTTTTCTACTCGTATTCTCAGCATTGTCTTATTCATAGTGTTTGTTTGTTTGCTTGGAATCAAGCACAAAGCTACATGATGGGCTGTCTGTGCTCTGCCCACTACGGGTATCGAAACCGGTTTATAGCGTTGTAACTCCGCAGGCATACCGATGTGCCACTGGGGGGGCTTATTTATAGTGAAACTTATCAGCCATCTGTTAAAATAGAAATATGAAGGCTATTATTATAGTTCAGATTGTCTGTAATTCATCTTTGGAATAAACAAGACCAATCGATTTCCAGTTGTATGCATGACACAAGGGAACACTATTATAGAAATAGCGTTTCATATTTAATATATCTAAAAATTCACGAATTTTATTCGATAGAGGTTTACGAGCTTGTACAACTGTCAAATGGGGAGAGGGAAGGTATGCTTAATTGCCCTCTTCTAAATATATTGTTAGAGACATCAGAGCTACTATGTAACAAATTTGGTATCGGTACCACTAGATATTGGTATTTAACTTTTTAAAATAAATCAGGTGAAAGAAAACTAATTCTATGGTTTTCAGTACTGCATAATTATCAATATGTCAAGCATAATGTGTTACAGAACTAAATATCTTAACTGGCGTAATATTTACTACCATGAATCGGATAAGTCCTAATGTAAAAACATATATATATAAAGGAAAGAAAATAATATTGTTGACATTTGTTTGTAACAGTCCGAAAGATTTATCATTATCAACTTAGACATTAAATATATATAGTAAAGAAAGGTAAAGGCCAATGTGGGTGAAATGAAGCTCAAAATTTTAGCATCTTATATAATTAATTAATAATTACTACCATTAGTAAAAGTGAGTTTCTTTGAACCTTCTTCTTTCTCATGATTTTTACAAAGTTACATCGTTACTCGATGTTTCGTAACTTTTCTGAGTGTTTTTTTTTCTTGTAATATCACTCGACTCACTTGGATAAATAATTTTTACACCAGTATATCCTACATTCAGAAAGTGGTATTGTCGGCTCCTCTGATCTTGTGAATATCTGTATTTTATCTAAAATGTATCCTTATTTTCGTATTGACAAATAAATAAAAAATAAACATTTTTCAGTTTGCCTTAAATGTAACTTTGTTGTAAAGTAGATTTTTAAATTTGTTTCACTGTTTGTTCTTAAGTGGCTAAACAAAGACGTTATATTGAATAAAAGATAAAAATAATTTTAGCTGAGTTCTATATTTCTTACCATAGTTAATTGAGATACCTTATTTATTTATTTATTTTCCTAACAGGAATCGAAAGCCTGTCGATCACTAGTCTCTCTGTACCCCAGGTGGTTGAAAATGGTACTAAAGAGTATGTCGACCTAGATTGTGTGTATAACTTCACAGAAGAAGACGATCAATTAGTGGTCAAGTGGTACCACAACGATGATCCTAATCCTATTTATCAGTGGATACCTGAACTTAATTCTCGACGAGTGTCAGAGAAATTTCAAGATCGAGTTGACATGAATTTTACTGTTTCTCCGTCTGGTAAATTCACAAAATATCGTGGTCTTCGGATTCTGAATCCTACCACAGAATTTAGCGGCAAGTACTCCTGTCACGTGGTATCTTTAAATGGCATCGATGACGCAGCTAAAAACATGATAGTTTATGGTAAGTAACAGTGAGAGGTGAACCATTTCCTTTTTTTTTTGACTGATATGAAAAAAATGGTTGCTCTAATCTACAAATATCAAAAGGCAAACATCCAAGATATAAAAAAACACTGAAAAACACAATGTTTAGATGATAGATGTACAACTAATTTATGAGCTATATAATCTTGTTGTTCGAAGACAAAAAAACTAAGAGTTATTTCGCACTAGCTTATGATAAGAGAACGGTAAAAGCTACGTTTCCATTTACCATAAAGAATTTGATGTGCTGAGAAAAAAATCACCAGCCTAAAGGAATCCCTCCCTATAGTAATAAGTTGTGTTCTTTTTCATTTAGTCCTTACATTATACAGTAAGAATTTAGAGCCTTAATTGCAGTATTCTTATCAGTTGTAACTTTGTACTCTGTGAAAGAAATCTCTCTGTGTATGATCTTAGAAAGCCAGGCAGCGGTGCCTCAATGAGATTATAGTTTCCCATTGGTTAACATGTCACTTTAAATTATTATTTTTTCCTTATCGTTTACGTTTTATTCATCCAGATTTGTATGGAAATATGGTTGGGCTCATGACCTTGGGCAAAAAGAACAAAATTACTCAAGCTTCTCTTATCATCCTTATCTTTTACTATTTTAGATGGACATTGTGAGTAAATTTAATTATTTTACATTATCTTAGCTTGCAATTAAGACAATTTAAATGAAACTTTTGCACAAAATGCGAAACAAGATCACTGCATTGATCTTTATTAAAATGGTATCCTCAGTTTTCTGTACTTAAATTCAAAACTAATTGTGTCATGCGGAAGAAAATACTATTAACATAATTAGATAAAATCTACATTATTCTGTTCAGTTCAGAAAGCTACAAGCTGAAACTTAACCCTATTATTATCAACATATGAAACAGACGTAAAGTCAACATTATTCAGCACGCATCTCCTGATTGTTTAAAGTAATATATATATATATGTGTGTGTGTGTGAAGTGTGGAAAATTGATGAATTGTACATTTTTAAGTGATTATTCCAAGGCGTTGTGTCAGAAATATAGATTTAATATGATAATATGGCCTAATGGAAAAACTTTGGGCACTGAATATTCTCGTGTTGTTAATTAAAGGAATAAATGAAAAGCACTTTTTTGTTCATCTAACGATTGCTAGCCTATGTTCATATGAACGACTAACTTGTAGTTATCTTAAAAGTTTAGGAAAATCAAGATATAAGACGTTAGCCTTTTAACTCTACATAAAGTAAGCACCACTGTATAATAAAAACCTGTGCATTTAGAAATTGCTACTCAAGGATCATAACATCTGTGTTTAAATACTGAATTATTTCACAAAAGTTTAATTAAACTATAAAATCATTGCATAATTCTGGCTTTATTTAGTTAATCCGTTATTTTCGGAACCTCAGGAGTAATTTTCAAATTTAAATGTAACTTTTGTTTCGCACGCAAACAGCTGCAATTTAGGGTAATGAGCATCTTAAATATTTACTCGTTTTTGTGAAAACACCCATTAAGGATGACTGGTTTTATTTGTTATTATCATGTCGTTGTGAAAATAACCATTAAACATGCCTGTGTCTGTTGTTATGGTCGTGTCTTCGCAAAGACAGTTGTCAGCATTTATTAATGTTGTATATTTCTTTTCTTTCGTTACTCATCTGTCTTCAAACTATTAAAAATTATTATTATTATTTTCCTGTTATCCATTTTTTTCATTTTTTTTCGTCGAAGATCATTCATAAGTATAAAACATTTAATAAATAATAAATAATATAAATAGTATGAAGGCATTTGGTTGATTCGTTGGTTGGTTGTTAATCGCAAAAACTACAGACAATGAGCTATCTGTGCTCCGATCACCACTGGTATCGATATCCGAATTTTAGCGTGATAAGCCTACAGACTTACTGCTGAGCCATTGGGAAAGGGGAAGGCAGTATGGTGGTGATGACGTGAAGGTAACGTTCTTAATATATGAATGGAAGACTATCTAACTAAGTTTAACCAGAACATTAAGAAAACTGTGAAAATTAGCATAGCATAAAACATAGTTTTAACAAATAGTATCTAAATCAAATTTCGATTTATCATGGACCGAATGAGCTAAATCCCATTAAGCATACCTATCACCTACGTATCTATCAAACATAAACAAAAATGTTTTGAGCTTACATCCTTAAATGTTTCAATTAAACGTTTATATTCCTCTTGTTTGTTAAGTATTTTTATATACTTTAATTCATTATTTCTGATATAAATTTTATTTTTCACTTTCATTGTATTAATAAGCGTTTATCAAAGGAGTGTAATGCTAGAAACCAAATAAATGATTAGGGTGTAAATAAAATATAGAAGTTAAATGTAAGTAGAATAAAAATAAAAAGGAAGCTATTTGTTATTTGAGAGCGTAATTTACTGTGTATTTGCATATAGATGTACTGTCATTGGCCTGTCATACAATTCCTTACCAGTGGTTACTTATATAGATAAAAGTTCTTTGAAAATGTAAATATTATCTTACCCTCATGCATATTAACGATTTACATAGACTAACGGGAAAAAGCTTTCATTGAAATCCGAATCGTGATATAATCTTTGTACATTCGGAGAGAACTTTCTCATTGATCTTGGTTAACAGTACATGAGATCTGTTAATACAATAAGAGATCATTTTGTAAACTTGGCAAATTGTAGGCCTTGCTGGAGAGAGGTTCAATCAAGCTATTTACATTAGAAGAGCACAAACTCTCATATGCTGGAAAATTATTTATTTAGATATTAACTGTGGGTAGTCATGCAGAAGCTTTAGTAAAGATCTCAGTTAGTTCCACGTACGATAAATAAAGCAAATATATTGCAACTGAATACAGATTTGAACAAAAGTAAAATAAAACAAAAGGAGTGATGAGGAACTAACTACTCGGAGAGAAAGCAATGCAAAAATCCAAACATAACTGGAATAAGTAAGGTCATTAAAGCTTGAAGTTTTTGAAGTTGAACTAAGTATTCACATAACAAGAAAAAGATTACATTAGTGAGAAGTTAACAAAATCAATTTATTTTCTCTGTTTTATCCATATACTTGTTAACATAATAAGATCTTATAAGTAACAAAAATCTGTATTATCTGTAAAATATACTTCTAAATTTTCTTAAAGAACCAAAGAAGTTAGAATTTTAATATTAAAGGCATATCTTATTTTATCAAAATTTGTATATCCACGGATACGTATTTGTTATCAAATGTCTAATATTACAAAAAGAATTTCAATGATGTAAAATATACATCATAATATGTAAGTATCCCTACTGAATTCTACAGCTCTTTATACATATATGAACATGCAGTAAATTTGAAGATACCTGGTTATGATATGTTTAAGAGATTATTATCATCAATTAAATATGATACTTTAAATCTGGCATTATGAGCCTATTTTACTTGCTGAGATATCATATTCCTTGAAACCAGTCTAATCCAGAGAAACATTATGGAATAAACGATAGATTAAACCATATAAATATTTGTTTTTATCAGAAACCGGTGAGGAAAAAGCAAAAGGCAATACTGTTTTATAATGATACTTGTGTTACACAACTTTTACATAATGGCATGATATTATATTTCAGAATAGTGTAATTTTTTTTGTCTCTTCATATTCTTGAAACTCAAAACACTTTTTTAATTAACTTGATCATTTTGTTATGTTTCTAAGTCATTATATGTGCATTTTTGTTTATTTTACCATGACATGTTTAAAGTTAAATCCAAGTGTAACTTCCCAATGAGATTAGAAAATTGATAAATTGTCGAGTTTGTAGACTTTGCTGAAGAATGATATAGAATGAGAATTGAATGATGAAATATCAAACGATACGATATTGTTCTATCAGACTATTTACATTACATGCTTCTTCCCTTCTACCTTACTCATAAATTCTCCGTGTTATTGTTAACCTGTTTATTATTTTTTCTAACACAAAATTGTTTGACAAAAAAATAAACAAACTGTTGCTAATTTGTTTATTTAGTGATTACAACTGCATCAGTGTGAACAGGAACAAGTATTCCAAAGTCCTTATATATATCAAGTTGTTTGTTTTAGAAATTTTGTGCAAAGCACCATCCGTCCGTAATTTTGAGCTTATATAGGGAAGACAAGCAAGCCAACAGTATCTACTACCAACTGTTGGGTTTCTCTTATTTAAGCAAATAATAGGATGTAACAGTCACTACTGTAGCACATACACGATTCTAAAGTTCAGCGCGTGTTTTTTGTTTCTTTTTTTTTTGTTGTTGTTGTTGTTTGCAACAACTTATCGTTGATGATATCTTTCATTTTTATAGCATCTTTTCTATTATCTATGGCCTCTGCGTCACAGATACTCTTTTCAATATCAACTTTGTTGAAAGAAAAAGAAATATTTAACACACGTACTCTTTTATATTATTTTCATGAAATAAAAATGTCTATTTTATTCTATGATTATTTTGGGGGGATTAGGTTAACATTTATTTGTCATTATAGCTAATTTTTATTTGACCTACTGCTTTCTCTCTTTTCATATACATTTTTAATATTAACTCTAATGCAAATAAGCCAGTGCATGATTTAATTTACTGTTTTAGTTAATTAGGTAAGTTTATTAGCCTATAATTTAAAAAAGAGCCTAAAGAAACTAAAGCATATTAGAGAATTGAGGAAAAACAAGACAATTATACGTTTCACAAATACATCAATTATTCTCGACCATGGTTTCGCCAGTAAAAGTATCATCAGGTACATCGTGAAACATACAATCGTGATGTTTTTCCTCAATTCTGTAATTATGGAGTTTCACAAAAGACAAATTAAATTTCAAGATTATTCTTCGTCTAGTTAGAAAACTGAATAAAAGCACACATCATTTATGTTATTTACGCATAATCTCCCACTAAAAAGCTTTCCTTTACATTTGATCTACATTTTAAAACTCAAGTCTTA